TGTTGGGAAGGAATTTGGTTTGGAGATGCAGAGAAGTCAGAGTGAAAACAAAGTCAAGAAGGCAAAGTAAATTTTATTTCACTCTGCACAGAGTAACAGAGCGGGCCTGCCTAAGATTAGACAGGAAGGCTACTAAAGAGCATGGTTGTACAGTTGCAGTTCTGTCTGGGTCACCCAGACAATGGGAACTTGCAAACGCAAACCAGAGCTCTTAGCAGCCCCTCCCTACTTATCTGGAGTAGAACAGAGACAGAGGGAGAATACGTGCTTATGTCTGGAGAATAGAATGAAATAACAAATGACAAAGAAGCTTACCACTGGAAGAGCTCAGAGACAAAACGTGGTAAGTTGAGCAGTAAGAAGTCTTTAATTAAGGCAAAATGAACACACTCAAAGAACGGAGTGTAGGCAACCTCAGAGAGGAGGCAGCATAAGGCATGATGTATACAGGTGATTCATCATTCCTTTGAAGTTTTGTCCTAAGAATAGGGTTATTTAGGTGACTGTGTTGGTCCAGATCTCAGCAATCCTTATCCACATAGGTTCATTTATACTTCAAAGGTCTATCTCCTGTCCTGGTTACAAAGTTATTTAATTTATTGCAGGGCTGGAAGAAGTGGAAGAACAGCATACAGATTAAAAAGAATAAACTCATCCTTCACAGGCTAAGGAGATTTCGCTATGGCATGACCCTTGCCCCATCTCCCTGCCGTGCCTCATGGGGCAGGGCAGAGAAGTCCTGGACTGACATCTTTGGCCCTGGAGGCCTCATCTAATTGGTACAAGGAAGACATGGGCTGCACTCTGATGTTTTTCTTTGGGGAACTGTTTTTCATCTGGGGAATATCCGGACATTCCCAGTCACTCCTGGCCTTTGAAAGTTCAACTAATTAACTAATTAACTCTGTGAGTCCTTTCTGTTTCTCTGGTTTTATCTGGTTAACTCTTTGAGTCCCTTTTAGGGGGCTTTACCGGCTTTATTCTCTGTCCACCCCACTCATGTGTGTTTTTATGCCTAACAGATTAAGAAGTCTGAAATAGGAAGCTAGGCCTCCCTGTGCCCCCTGATGCCTGGCCACGTTGTGTACGGTCAGTCTGCAGCAGTAGCTCTGGAATGGCCCCTGGCAAAGTCACAACCTGTGGTTTTCAAACTGTGTTTTGAGGAGTCCAAGGGGTCAAGGGGAAGATGAACAACTGTGCTGTACCAAGCAAGCAGGCTGTGCTAAGCAGGGACACCAAAAAAGTATAACTGGGAAAAGTTATTTTCTCAGATTTTGTAGTTAGAAGAAAAAATAGACTTTAATTTCATCATAACATGTACATGCTTTGTGTTATGGTTTAGTATTACTTTTCACTTGAATTGAAGGGAATGGATACCCTAGTCTCTAGAGCTTAGGACCCCTAATGATGTTTAACAGCCCCACTGAATGGGTAGGACCCTAAATCCCCCCCCTTTGGCCCCTCCTTAGCAATCTAGACAGCTCTGCTTTTGTTTTTGTGATTGGGGTTTTAAAAAATTTCCTGTGTGAGAGAGAATATAGGTACAGTCTAGAATACAGGTTAAGAAAAAGTGCTGTTTATTCATCTACTGTTCTGTATTAGTTAGAGGCAGTGACTTGATCAAATTTTTGTCTTTAAATGATTATTCTGGAAGGAGGTCAAGTTGAAGGTGGGGGAAGACCTCAGCCCTCTATTTTGCATCTGTGAAATACGGCTGGTTCTAGCTTTGAAGTTCATGATTTTTGCTTGTGGATGGGCCCTGAAGCCTGAGTTCCTGTAAATGACAGGTTTTCCTTATGAAAAGCAGCCACGGGTATTATGTATTCTTGGAATTTGTAGTCACAGAAACTGTTTGATGTTAATGGGTTTATACTGGAAAGGGCTTTTGTGGAGTTCTTTGGCTCAAGGCAAACTAGCTGTTGATGTAATCAGGAGACCACAAAGAATGATTTTTCCCACCCATGTCCCTCTTTAACAGTGTGCATCTCCTGTGACTCATGCTTCTGTGCCTTAGACCTTGGAGAGACTGGCCATGTTTCCAAGGCTCAGGCAGGGCCAGCCTCTCCATCCTCTGCCTGATAATCCCGTGGCCCCAGAGAGCTTTGACAGAGGCTTCTCCTTCTCCTGGAACTTGCCCAGATCTGACTTTGCTGCAGAGCTTCTAGGTCATAGAGCTGAAAAGAGTCACAGAGGCCTTAGAGGGCATTGAGTCCAGGGGCTCCCAAACCTGACTGCACATTCAAATCTCCTGGGAAGTGGGGGGCAAAAGGCCCCTTCCCATTGAGTCTACCTCATAAGGCTGTAATGGGACCAAGAAATCAGCATTTTTTGTACTGTCTAAGGTGGTTCTTCTTAGCACAGTATATGGCATTTGGTGACCACTGATCTAGTCTCATACTTCAATTTTATTTAACTTGAAAATTACATATGTATGTATTTATTCTTTTTAATACAAAGAATTATAAAGAAAGAAAAACCAAAAAAGTCCATTTTCCCCTCAATGCACTTGACTTAAAAAAATCAAAAGTAAGACATGCTCATGTTTGGAAAATTCAAACAGTACAAAACATGAAGACTGAGAAGCAAAAACATCCCCCACTCTGAGTCCAGCTCCCAAAGGCAGTCACCATTAACACTTCCTTTGGATTCTGCTCATAAATGACTTTATATTTATATATCCTCACCTATCGATCTGATTCTACAAAATTTGGACTGAAAGAGTCATCCTATACATGTTATCCTGAACTTTACTTTTTTTCTACTTAAAAAGTTTTGGATCTCACCACAGACGATTGATCATTCTTTTTAATGACTGTTAAATAAGTTAATATTTGTAACACACTTGGAACAATTCTTTGGCATATGCAGTAAGCACTATATTTATTAAATGAATGAATGAAAATTGCTGCATGGTATTCCATTGTATGAATATACTCAATTTCACCATTAATGGACACTTTTTTTGTGTCAGTTGCTACAACAGACAATGCAGAAATGAACATCCTTGTATGTGTATCTTGGGGACTCTACCTTGGGTATGGTAATCAGTACCTTACTTAGAGGAGCAACAGTGGGCTTGAAGCCAAAGGCATTAGACAGGAAAATTAACTGATTAGGTAAAAGCAGGAAATAGGACTGCAACTGGGAATTTTTCCTGGTAGCTAGAGTCATAGAACTACAGATTTGAGATCTAGAAGGAACCATGAGAGATTGTTTGTTCCAACCGTATGCCTGCTGGGCAAGAAAGGTATTCCTAAGTTGTGCCCTGAGCCTACAGTGTACTCATTGGAAAAGTGGTGTATGGGGGCTGGAGGGTCTTTAAAATTTTCATCAGGGGTATTGATATTTGACATCTCTCAGACACTGTGCAAGCTACTAGCTCAAGATAGTGGACAGTTTAACATTAATCTCACTACATTCCTTTTGGTGATGGTCTATTTTGTGGAGCTGAGTTTCTGGCAGGTGCCATGATACAGAAGTATTGAGCACAAGTGAATTGGGATAGGAGGTGAGGAGGGCCTTGTCCAGTCTGACTCCAGAGTTTGGAAAGTTGTGCAGTGCCTGACATTACACACACACCCATTAGTAAGTAACTGGTTAAGAACGAAATTAAAAATAAGCATTAGGTCATAAATGCTTATTGTTTGAATCTAACTATGTAATACATGGTACTGCAGGTATTTCTTTTGCCCTAGAGTGCTGTGAAAAAATTACTAAGACACCTACTAAGGGCAATGTAATTGAAAAATTTAGGAACAGCTGACTTCCATCTTTATCCCTCAGAACTCCTAACTACAGGCGAGAGAAACCAAACTGACACTGGCTTAAACGAAGCCATGGAATCATTAGCTTATGTATGTGGGATGGCCCAGGGTTGCAGACTGGGCTGGGTTCAAGTGCTCAGAAGAGGTCATCAAGGCTCCATTTCTCTTTCCATCTCTAGGACAGGCTCTCTACATGGAGTGAGAGAGCTTCACACTCATTCTTTCCAGACTCACATCCTGTAAGTGTTGCAATCCCAGCAGGAAGAATCATCTTTCCCAATAGCCTGTGCACAAAAGCCCTGGGAGGACTTTGGGTGACTTACCCTGGGTCACTGGCCTCTTCCTAAGTTGAGGCTATGGGGATTTGGAGTGGCCAAGCCTAGGCCACATATTCATCCCTGTGCTCAGGCGAGTGTCCTCACTAACCCACACAGAGTAGGTTGATTCTCCATAGAAAAGAGGAGGTTCTGTTACCAAGAGAATGGGAGAAGGGATACAGGGCCAAAAACAGTGAATTTCCCATTTTACAGGTGAAGGAACAGATTGGTGGTATCTTAATAGTTAAACATGGAGGCCCTGGAGTCTCAGCGATCTGGCTTCCCTTCCTTGGGCAAATTAACCACATCTTCAACTTTTTTTTTTTTTTTTACCTTGCTTAATGAAACATCTTTTTTTTTTTTTAATTGAAGGGTAGTCGACACACAGTATTACATTAGTTTCAGGTGTACAACACAGTATTACATTAGTTTCAGGTGTACAACACAGTGATTTAACAGTTATATACATGATAATTCTAGGTTCCAGCTATCACCATACCAAGTTGTTACAATATTTTGACTATATTCCTTATGCTATACATTACATCCTGGTTACTTATTTATTTTACAATTGGACACATCTTCAACTTTTAAGAATTTAGAGTCCTCATCTATAAAATGGGAATAACTGAAGGTAAAGGCCAAGAAATAAAAAAGATGACAATAATAGTCCCTTCCTCATAGGGTTGGTGGCTGAGGGAGGGCTAAGTGAGTTAACACACTCAGAGTGCCTAGCACAGGGCCTGACTCACAGGAAGCCCTCTGTAAGCGAGGCCGTTATTATGACTGATCTAGCAGCCATAGTGAGCACACAGCTGGTGACGGACCCAAGCTTCTGACTCCTGGAGCAGGTTTCCGTTCAACTAAGGAGGCAGGGAACGGGTACAAACGGTGATTTCCTCTTTCCTGTCTCTTGCAGAGTGAAGCAGCATGGATGCTGTCAGCCAGGTCCCCATGGAAGTTGTGCTCCCCAAGCACATCCTGGATATCTGGGTCATTGTCCTCATCATCCTGGCCACCATTGTCATCATGACCTCCCTGTTGCTGTGCCCGGCCACTGTGGTCATCATCTATCGCATGCGGACTCACCGTGTCCTCAGCGGGGCTGTCTGAGAATCTCCCAAGAGGGGCAGGTGAGGGACAGTGTTCCCCAGCCTCCTCCCTGTTCTCAGAAAAGTGGTGGGAAGGACTCTGGAGCCAGGACTCTGGAGCTTGGTATGAGAGAGGAGACCTGGGTTCTGTTCTGATTCTATCACCGGCCAGCCGCATGAGTTCAGTCAAGGAACCTCATTCTATGAGTTATGGGTTCCTTATCTCCCAAATGGGGCTAGTGGTCCCTGCCCTTGCTACCTCATAGGTTGTGAGAATTGTGGCTTAGTGACGTTACAGCTGTTTGTGAGCATTAATGCTGCCACAGATAAACAGGTGTTACTGCTAAAAGCTAAGCAGCTTTGGAGAACCAAAGAATCGTGGTGATGGCCTCCATGGCAGGAGGAGACACTGGGGCAACCTTTGCCAGCGCCCCTCAGATCACCCTGAGCAAAGGCCCCCTGTCCTTATCCCAAGGGGCCAGCAGCACATAAACTCAGTTATTTTCTTTGAGGGGCCACTCTCTCAAGTTTTCTAATTTGGGAGGGGACTGAACACGGCAGGGGGTGAGGGATGGATAGAACTTCCCACGACCTTCTTTGTGCCAGAATTTCTGCCCCTGTGCAATCTGGAAGAGGGCTCTGCCATTTCTTGGAAATGTCAAGGGAGCTGGGGTGATAGGCTTTGTTCTGCACTGGAATCTCAGTGCTTTGATCCTCAAGCAGTGTTGGAAAATGCAGGGTGGCTGAGTTTCCTGGCCGGCTTTCAGGACCTCCAGCCTCCATCCGTGTGCCCCCACTAGAGAAGCTCTGTTCTCTGCCCTGCCCCTGCTGTGATCCACTCCAGGGTGTCCCGTGTACTCCTTCCAGCCCCTCCCACTGGCAGCGCAGCCAATCCAAGGTACAGACTTACATTTTCAGAGATATTCCCAGGACTTTTGAACTGACTCAAAACAATGATGGTTATTTTACAAGCTATGATTTATATTTATATAGCCAGATTTCTGGACCACCCAAGCTCTTTGGCCACAGGAGCACCTTGGGATTTATTAAATTATAAAAGAAGTTAGCACAGATATCAGGATATTGTGTGAAAATGATGCTTTTACTTTGATCTGATTTCACTGACGTATGCAAGCAATTTCCAATAAAGTGCTAGAATGAGCATGTCCAGGGTCTTTCTTCAAAGAGTGCTTATTAAACTCAGTAACTCAGGTAGAAGAGTTCTACTGAATTTATGGGCCCTAGAAACAGTTTGAATGTAGGAACAGAAAGGGAAAGAGAAGAATCAGACTGACTTCCGTCCAGGGTTCTAGCAAGCAGGTGCCTTGTACAATCAGACAAACACAGAATGCAGAAGGAAGGAGATTTAGATGTAAGGTGATGGATTTAGTACTGGCCATGTTGGGTTTAAGGTGCTCACAGTCTTCAGGTTGACACTTACAGAATGCAGTTGGAAATCTGGGTCTGCTCCTTGGGAAAGATGTTATGGCTAGAGTTCTGATTTAGGGGATCTCTGCATATAGCAGCTCTGTCTCACAGGTGGATGGGATCCTCAGGCAGAGTATACAGAGGAATGAGGGGCTGAGTGCAGAACATGGCCAACACTGCACTGGAGTGGAAGCAGGCAGGGGTCAAGGTGGAGCAAGGAGATTGAAGAGGCCTTATGGGAAGAGGTGCCATATGATGGCTGCGAGCATACTTTGTGATTAAATAACGAGTGGAAGGTCAGGTCAGGAAATGGAGACAGTGGGAACAGACAACTCTTTCCAGGCATAAGGCGGTAATACAGAGGTGAGAGACAAGTGGATTGGGGAAAATGATCAAGAGGAAGATGATATATGTGATAAGATTCTGATGTTTGCTCAGCATTTACTGCAACGTTTTTCTGTTATCTAACATGTCTTCCTGGGTGGCAGGGGCTAGACAGTGAAAAACTACATTGAATGTGAAAAACGATTTCCTAACTACCCTGTAGCTGGAGATTCAGACATGATTTAGGTTTTGCTAACCAGATGCATGCATTTGAGGTTTCAGTTTGGGACCTAGTTGAGTGGGGAGAAATACATCAGGGTCTGAGGCACTCATGGTGCCGGTGTGATCCAGAGGCTGCAGTGTGCTCCGGAGCCAAGCCAGCAGCTTTCTGGTACCCAGCCTGTAGCTGAGGTGGGGCAGGCCCATGGCCCACAGCCCCGACCGGCTTTCTTATCCCCTAGCTTCCCAGTCATGGCACAAGTTGGAGCCCTGCAAGAGGGCCAGTTCTGCAGTGTTGGCTGGAAAGGATGCTATTAATCCCTGCCTTCTATTCTTCTCCAATCCTTTCAATAATTTTTAAGCACATAAGTCTCTATTTTAAAGCCCTTTCTATTTAATTTTGCTAGAGTGCACCTTGGTTGACCTAGATGGAAGAAAAGTTTGTTAATCCCCGTCAATTACTGGCCTAGCAATTCCACTTCTAAGTCTACCATGCGATTCATTGGTGGAGAAGGAGCTCTGTTAATGTGAGCAGATGGTCTTGGAGAAATAAAGATGCCCACGAACTGGCAATCTCAAGGATTCGGAGAGGTCTGGCGGTGGTAATGAAACGAGCACTTCCCTCGGCAGCTTCTAAAGCACTTCTAGTAAGGACAGTGAGGTAGTCATGTGAGCGCCATCCAGGGTGGGAAGATACTGTGCAGCGGATTTTGAAAAGGGAGTGAAAATATGAATTCCAAATATATTCGCCACTTTGAAAAATAAAGGCTATGGTAGCAAACTGCAGTATTTTTAAAATTAAATTTATTGAACTTAGTGCTTAGATTATATTATTTAGATGTGGAATGACTTACATTTTAAAAAGTTAAGAGCATATGTGCGTGCTTATAGGTAAGAATTAATGAACATATTTTCCAGATACTCTGAATACATGATAGTTCATGTTTCCACATATCTTTTAACACTATCTTTTCTGAAGTTAGCAGAAATCAGACTTGGGAAGAAAAGGATACATAGTAAATCAGAGAGAACACTATTTCTTGTGATAACTAAAAGCTCTAGTAACCTTTCTTCCAAACTCTCCCCTCCCCAACCCTAACTCCAGAAACAACTGACTAATTTGAGAATTACTACAGAAAAAAGAAACAATTGCAATATTTATATAGCCATAGAGAAGTGCTCTGGTAAATACTGTACAAACAATGGGATAGAACATGGCAACTGAGTGCAGTCTATTATAATGTTAAGCAACAAAGAGCAAAATACAAAATTGCATGTACTCAGTGGCATCTCTAGGATTTTTCTAACAGGCCAAACAGTAATAATCTGGTAGTAAAATGCAACAGGAACTGTAATAATTTTTCATAGCCTTTTATGTAAGACTGGAAAAAGGTCAAGGGCTCAAATGAAAGAATTGAGGGGGCTGCAAGTAGAGATAATATTTAGAATATATGTGCATCTGATGACATGATATTGTACATAAAAAACCCTAAAGAATCCACTCCAAAACTACTACAACTAATATCTGAATTCAGCAAAGTTGCAGGATACAAAATTAATATACATAAATCTGTTGCTTTCCTATACATTAATGACGAACTAGCAGAAAGAGAAATCAGGAAAACAACTCTATTCACAATTACATCAAAAAGAATAAAATACCTAGGAATAAACCTAACCAAGGAGGTGAAAGACCTATACCCTGAAAACTACAAGACACTCTTGAGAGAAATCAGAGAAGACATCATTAAATGGAAACACATCCCATGCTCATAGGTAGGAAGAAGTAATATTGTCAAAATGGCCATCCTGCCTAAAGCAATCTACAGATTCAATGCAATCCCTATCAAAATACCAACAGCATTCTTCAATGAACTAGAACAAATGCTCTAAAATTCAGTTGGAACCACAAAAGACCCCAAATAGCCAAAACAATCCTGAGAAATAAGAATAAAGCTGGGGGAATTATGCTCCTCAACTTCAGGCTCTACTACAAAGCCACAGTAATCAAGACAATTTGGTACTGGCACAAGAACAGTCCCATAGACCAATAGAATAGACTAGAGAGCCCAGATATAAACCCACATGTATATGGCCAATTAATATATGATAAAGGAGCCATGGACATAAAATGGAGAAAGGACAGCCTCTTCAACAACTGGTGTTGGCACCACTGGACAACTATATATAAGAGAATGAAACTGGATTACTGTCTAACTCCATACACAAAAGTAAACTCAAAATGGATCAAAGACCTGAATGGAAGTCATGAAACCATAAAACTCTTGGAAGAAAACATAGGCAAAAATCTCTTGAATATAAACATGAGCAACTTTTTCGTGAAAATATCTGCTTGGGCAAGGGAAACAAAAGCAAAAATGAACAAGTGGGAGTACATCAAACTAAAAAGCTTCTGTACAGCAAAGGATACCATCAACAGAACAAAAAGCCATCTTTACAGTATGGGAGAATATATTCATAAATAACATGCTGATAAGGGGTTAACATCCAAAATATATAAAGAGCTCGCATGCCTCAATACCCAAAAAGCAAATAACCCAATTAAAAAATGGGCAGAGGATATGAACACTTCTCCAAAGAAGAAATTCAGATGGCCAACAAGTGCATGGAAAAATGCTCCACATCACTAATTATCAGGGAAATGCAAATTAAAACCACAATGAGGTATCACCTCACACCAGTGAGGATGGCCACCATCCAAAAGACAAACAACAACAAATGCTGGCAAGGATGCGGAAAAAGGGGAACCCTCCTGCACTGCTGGTGGGAATGTAAATTAGTTCAACCATTGTGGAAAGCAGTAGGGAGGTTCCTCAAAAAACTAAAAATAGAAATACCATTTGACCCGGGAATCCCACTCTTAGGAATTTGCCCAAAGAAAACAAGATCACATATTCAAAAAGACATATTCACTGCTATGTTTATTGCAGCACTATTTACAATAGCCAAGATGGAAGCAATCCAAGTGTCCATCAGTAGATGAATGGATAAAAAAGATGTGGTACATATATACAATGGAATATTATTCAGCCATAAGAAGAAAACAAATCCTACCATTTGCAGCAACATGGATGGAGCTGGAGGGCATTGCACACAGTGAAATAAGTCAGGCGGAGAAAGACAAGTACCAAATGATTTCACTCATCTGTGGAGTATAACAACAAAGCAAAAACTGAAGGAACAAAACAATAGCAGACTCACAGAACCCAAGAATGGGCTAGTGGTTACCAAAGGGAAAGGGACTGGGGAGGATGGGTGGGAAGGGAGGGAGGGATAAGTGGATTAAGGGGCATTATGATTAGCACATAAGATAGTGGCAGCACAGGGAAGGCAGTATGGCACAGAGAAGACAAGTAGTGACTCTATAACATCTTACTATGCTGATGGACAGTGACTGTTATAGGGTATGTGGGGGGGACTTGATATAGGGGGCAATGTAGTAACCACAATGTTGTTCATGTGAAACCTGAGCATAAGATTGTATATCAATGACACCTTAATAAAGAAAAAAAAAAAAAGAATATATGTGTATCCAAACAAGGCCGGGCAGGAGCATGGAGAAGACCGACAGAACTTTACTGGGGGCACTGACATTATGGTGACCATTTATTTACATTTGATTCTTCATTAGTTACAATTGCCTATAATAAAATCATGAATATATGTACTGTTGCTTTGCCACTAATAAAATGACTCCTGTGATATTCTGCTCCCCTTCTCATTATAGGGATAATTTCTGCTATTATACTTCAAATGTAACTATGTTCATCAGATTTCTTTCTTCAACCAAACCTGTGTCATTGGAAACCAGCCTCCTAACATGCCAAGGGCATGCCTATGTACATATCTACCCGGTCCAAGGAAATGCAGCTTGGGAGAATGTGCGTGTGGAAGGGGGGATGTGTGTGCACATCCACTTCTGTGTGTATATGTTAAAGTGTAATGTGATCCACCTGAAATGCTCTTCCAGCATTTCATGTAGTTATTCACTTAACCTTCCATTTTCATTTTGTTACAAGGAGCCTGGCACTTCTTAATACATTTGGAAATATTGTTACTCTGCCAAACACAGCAAATCTTATCTCCTTTTAGTTTCTAGTGACAGTATTTAGTATTAGTCATCATGAATAAAAATTATTTTCTAATTTGCAGATGGAAGTATTTTCTACTTTCCATCCATAAACTGAATGTTTTCCCTCAAAGACTGATTCTCAAATTTTAGAGTGCCCCAGGATCATCTGGAGAAATTTTACCCATGCAAAACCCCGGTCCCTAGCCACAGAGATTCTGATATAATTGGCATCTTAGTCTTTGAGCTGCTGTAACACAACACCATAGTCTGGGTGGCTTATAAGCAACACAGATTTATTTCTCACAGTTTGAGAGGCTGGAAGTCTAAAATCAAGGCACTGGAAGAAGATTAGGTGTCTGGTGAGGGCCTGCTTTCTGGCTCACAGGTGGCTGTCTTTTCACTGTAAGTCATATTGCTGAAGGGGCAAGGAAGTCTGGGGTCTCTTTTATAAAAGCACTGATTCCATATGTGGAATCATGAGCTAATCTCTGCCCTCCTGAGCTAACCACCTCCCAAAGTCCCCACTTCCTAATACCATCACCTGAGGGTTAGGATTCAGTATATGAATTTTGGGTGGACACATTCAGTCCATAGCAGTGGGCATAAGATAGAGCCAAAAATTGTGCATTTTTAATTCAGTGTCCTGCCTTGGAGAAACATTGTACTGAAGTATCCAGGAACTTGGTTTTCTCTGTCACAGCTGTCTAGAACTTAAACTTTTCCTAATTGTCTGTTGGAGGGAATCTTGGAAAATTTTGTGACACAGGATCAGTCTTAGGCAATTCAAACCCACAGGAAGCAGTAGACTAGGAATTGCTGGATGTGGGCCGTAGACTCTGTGTTGGCTACTTAGCTTTTCTGAGTCTGATTCCTTGTCTGTAAAGGGGAGGGTATTAAAATTAAATGAGAAATACACTCCATGGTTTTAGGATGAATGAGGTAAACACTTCAAGGCAGATCCCAAAGTAATCCTGTCACATTCCTAGCGGCCCACGATTTTGTTTTTACAGTTCTGGTTTCAGAAACTGTGGAGGTAACATAAAGCACATCCAGTCAGCCTCTCCGAGGCGAAGCGAGGAGTCTTCTCTCTACGAGCCGGGCTGCCAGTGTTGCCTGTTCCGTATTTCCTGTGTCACTCTAGTCCACCTGCATTGCATTCCCCAGGAGCATTTGCTTACAGGAGAAGATGTTTTGTGTTCTACGAATTGAACAGCAACTGGCCAAAGATTTGTGGACTCTCTGAACATCAGGACAGTAGATTGCTTTTTTTCTTTTTCCATACTTATTTTGAATTTATGGGAAATGAGAAGCTAAATGAAATACAACTTTTCACTTTGTTGCAAGGAGCCTGTCACTTTCAAAAGGGACTAACATTCTTTTTTGGTGTAATGGGTTAAGTGGTGGCCCCCCAAAAGATATGGCCACTTCCTGATTCCTGGAACCTGTGAATGTGAACTTATTTGGAAAAAAAGGTCTTTGTTGATGTCGTTTAGTCAGGGGTTTTGAAATGCAGAGATCATTCTGGACTATATGGGTAGGCTCTAAATCCAATGACACGTGTCCTTATAAAAGACACACAGAGAAGAGGAGGGGCAGTGTGAGCATGGAGCAGAGACAGGAGCAATGTGGCCGCAAGCCTCGGGGCGTCTGGGGCCTCTAAAGGTGGAAGAGCTATGCAGTGCGTTGTCTCCAAAGCCTTTGGAGGGAACAGAGCCCTGCTGAAACCTTGATTTCGACCTCTGATATCCAAAACTATGAGAGAATAAATTTCCTTTGATTTAAGCCACTGAAACTGTGGTAATTTGTTAGAGCAGCCCTCGGAAACTGATACACTTGGTAAGCTGATGTGGGATGACCAAGTTTTTCCACAACTGCATGAGTGGACTAAGAATTCTAAAAAATAAACATTATTGGATGAGGGGAGATAACATGAAACACTTTAGAAAGGAAAAGGAAAAGGTGGGAAAAAAGAGAAGATTAAGGTTGGTAGCTAGAATGTGAACTAAGGCAGGAGACGGAAGCTTTGCTGGGTGTCTGAGAAGAGCACAAACTGAGGAGGAGGACAGATAATGTGCATCCATTTTTTTACAGTGTCAGTTACTTTGTCTTCTCATGTTCGGTTCATATTCTTGTGTGTATGTGTATAATTAAGTATTTTATACCAGAAACAGCCCCTCAGAGAAAGTCATTGGATGAGATGCAATCTTTTGATTATATACCCATTATTCACATTATTTCTGTTCATTTGAAGGGGAGCAGAATATGTGACCCCAAAATATGCCACTTTGGCATGTGAATTACTTTAAGCAGAAGGCAATCAAGACTCAGCTGATGAAAGAAAAAGTTTTCTCTCTCTTAACTATCTCCAAGAATTTAGAGAGGGGGCCTGGCCCAGGAAGGGCTGCTTCCAGAGATAACTGTGACCTGAATGACCCAGGTGTATGGCTGGGCTAACATCCAGCCATCAAGCAGCTGCGCCTCTGATTGTCCTGTGAATTACCCTCCTCCCTTTGCAAGTCCCACCTTGACCCAGTCCTTGGCTCAGGATTCATATAGGCCTCAGTTGCCTGTCATTGATCTCATATTTTTATGGGGCTCCTATACTATGAAATTAAACTTGTTTTTCTTCTGTTAATGTGGTTTGTGTTAATTTAATTATTAGACCAGCCAAAGAATCTAGAAGAGGAAGGGAAAAACTTCACTCCCCTACAGATGGAACTTGAGTGGCTAAATAAAAACGATTAGCTTAAGTGTGGAGACATACAGAATTCAGCCAGGATATTGAGAAGAAAAGAAGATAATGGAAAAGAATGAAAAGTCACCTAGAAAAGAGCCCTAGAAAAGTTCTAGGAGTTGGGGGTTTTCGTTGAGTGCTTAATACAAGGTCACCTGTACAGAATAACGGAGGACTGCATCCTTTTAATTTTAGCCAAGATTTTTTTTTAGTCAAGATTTTTAAATTCTGAAAATGGAATGCATTCATTTGCAGTTCTAGAGAATGAAGTTTTGAGAAAATATCCTAAGCGTTGTGAAAAAAACACTTCTATTTATTTATTTGTTGGCAAAGGCTATAAATTCCTAGCAATCCAAAGGAATCTTTAAACTTTGGGAGAGGGTATGAGGTAGCTCTGCCCTTTGAGATGATCTATTCCGCTCTAGGCTGGTTGTGGCAAAAACAGATTTTAATGGTCAGAGAGACCTCAGGCATCCAGAGCTACATGTAGAATAGAGGCTCAGGACACCTAAGAAAAGAGCCAAGAATTATGTGAAGAGTTCTTACCACAATAATAATAATAATAATAGTCAAAAAATAAAAGTGTTTGATCATTGCGTAGTCCTGACTGACTAAATCATTGGCCATTGGCGGAATCAGCCTCCAGCCCCTGCCCTTGGGTGGGGTCCAAAAGTCTCTCATTAACATGACAAGACACCTGTTTCACCTCTAAGACTGCGGTGTTTTCAGGAACTGGGGATGAAGACTGAATATACCTGGGAAATATATATTTGGTTATATGAATGACCAAATATGTATTTCTTATAACTCATTATATCACAAGTTATATATCAACTGTACAACTATATAATACTAAAAAAAAAAGGACAAGAGCGAGTGAAAGAGAGAGAGAGGATGGAAGAGTTAACAAAATAGCAAACAATATACACTCCCCCAGGTCTGCATGCAATTGTTAAAATTTTAAACTTGAATAAATGTTTTTATTTAAAAATTCTTCAAGATCTCTATACTCTTCACAACTAGTTGGAAGGCTCAGTTTAAGTTATTGGTTCTAGATTTGACCAGTGATAACTCTTGCAAGTGTCCTTTTGACCTGTCTCCACAATTCTCTGTGTATCTCTTTACCTCCTGATCCAAGGAACTCTCCTGGGTTCACCTTACCTTTTCTCTGCCCTGGACTTGGCATCGGCCATTTCTCCAAGGAGCCTTGATTCCTTTCAGTGGAGTTTGGTCTTTAGAAGGGATCGGGAAGCTAGGTGTGCTCACTGTTTACTGGAGTTTTGCTGCTTCCTCTCCTCGATGGACAGAGCTAGTTAATGTATATCTCTATTAAACACACAGATTTATACCTGTGTTTCTATATCTACATGAAAAAAAATTGTAGATATACACTAATACATCCAGTTCCAATCTAACACGATAGGGTTTATTCAAATTTTCTCCTTTTCCATATTTGAAACTCCCTTCTCCAAAAGTGAGAAAGCTTAATGTATCTGTTTGATCAGCTCTTTGGCTGTCACCAATTTCTCATCGCTGCTACATCCCAAACTCCCCATGTGCGATGTCCACCTCACTGGTTTGGGCTCCGGTAGCCCTAACTAGCCCATCATCCCCACCTTGCTTGGTCTGTAACCATCCTGCTCCGGACCACCTCAGAGTCCTCTGGCTGCATTGTAGTCATCTGCCTTGCTAAGATCCTCCTAGTGGCCTTTGATCTAATCAAGGAAAGGATACAAGAAGAATTACCATTTTATTTCAAGCTAATATTTGCTAAATGCTATTTACCAAACTATATTATCTCATTTTAGTGGCATTATGACCCTGAGAAGTAGATATGACTTCTACAAATTGGAGCTGTCAAGATCAAAGAAGTTGTGTCATTTGTCAGTATCCATAGCAGTAAGTAGCAGATACAGGACTGAATCTATTGGCCTGACTATAACCACTACTCCTAACCTGGAGGCTGTGCATATGGATATGTATTTCATATCTTTTCAATGCATTGAAAAAGGTGGTTCAATTTTAAAGTCAATAGTTTTTAGTATATAAATATTTGGGGTATATGAATTCTCAAATAATTAGGCACTTTAAAAAGATTGTACATAAAGAAAATGTTCTTTCTTTAATGATGGCATTAAGGATTTGTAAAGGTATTTTATAATTTATACCATTTCATTTCATAATCTTATATCTATTCTGTTTTAAGGCCTACTTTCGTGGTTAAACTTTTATGTACTGAATCATTTTCAATATGCCTTTTCATAATTTAGGGAAAAAATATGAGGGAAGAGTTCTTAGGTTGTTTGTCTTTTGCTAATAATGGTGAGCCACTGTATGAACTAGTTTCTGAAAGAAAAACAAGAAGAATTACTTAGAAGAGGCTAGATTTTTAACCTTAGTTACAGATCCATTATGATTTCCTTGTCAACTTTACAGAAACTTGACAAGTTTCCTGCCTAATCAAATTATTCTAAATTGTAATGGAAAAGCCTACTCTTTCTCCCTTGCTTGTTTTCACATATTCCCACAGCCTTGCATGGAGACCTCTGAAATTCCTAACTATTGGCTAGCTTTGGTACTGCCTACTGTATGCCAGGCACTGTTAGGGAATTTACTGACATTATATCATTTAAACCTCTTAGTAACCTGTTAGGTGAATATTATTTTACAGATGAGAAAATTAGAATGTAACAGTAAGCATATATTTAGCACCTCTTGTATGTGAGGGGTTAGCTATTTGTTCTGTGCAAATTGTCACATTTAAATCTCACAACTATTTTCATATGCTATGGGTCTATTTGTCGGTCCCCTCCCTGTTTCTGACCTGCAGATAAGGGAGGGGACGCTATGAGTTATCGAAGATCTGAAGGAACCAGCTAGGGGACTCAAGGCGTAACAGCTCTAGAGTGGCGCCGAGAGGGCACCTCTCATACTTATTGACTGAATGGTTGTTAACAACAATAAAATTCTGTATAGGGGACTCAGTGCACAATCATTAATCAAGTCCAACTCTCAACAGTCTCCAATCTTCTGAAGCATAACAAACAAGTTCTTACATAGGGAACAATGCAAGGGCACTTGTATCACAGAAACTGTTTCTGTTTTGACCACGAATCATGAACTATAAACAATCAAGTCAGATATGATTATTCATATGATTTTTATACTTTATATATGAATTCCCACACTATTATTATTCCAACTTCGTAATTGAAAAACTGAAACTCAGAGGGGTTAAATTAACTTGTCCAAGGTCACGTGGCTCTAGTAAGTGTTGGAATCTGGATTCCAAACTAGCAGTGTTTAATTCCAAAGCCGCATGTTCTAGGCACTAGTTATATGACTACTTGGAAAATGTCTAAAAGAGGATGGGGGTTAAAATATGGAGAGGAAAATGTAAACTATGTGCACCCAAAGAACAGTACAACAAATTCGTACCTGGAGAAAAGAATAAGATTCAGTATGGGGAGGAATATAGCTAGGTGTCTGAAAACACTTCAGTGTTAATGCAGAAGTGGTGAGCAGACACGTTTTATGTGGCTCCACTGGGCAGAGCTAGCTAGGGAATCAGGAATATCTTTAAGTCTGATCTAACGGTGAACTTCTAAGTACATAGTTGGCTGACAGTTCAAGGGCCAGCTTTGGTAGGAGGTGTTCTATAATGCTATAAAGGGGATTCCTGCAAGTCAGGCATCGAAAAGATGTGAGCACTCACAACTAGGTAAGTTCTGAATTCCTTCACAGCTCTCAGTTTTGATTGCAGGACTCCAGTAATACAACCTTGATTCACTGAGAAAGTCATGACCTGCTGGAGTGACAACCTGGGCCAAATGGTGCATCCATTTGCAGTAAAGAGCCACACCGCCATCTGGTTATCATAACAATTATCATTAAAACAAAATTTTTTTATTCATTGGTTTTGAGTGTTTAGAAGAAAATCCATTAATATCCATCAGTTGTTATAAGTTTTCTTAACTGGTTGGCATTTTTTTCTCCAGTGCATTTTCTCTGCAACCTCTCCTCCTGAAAAAGGCCTACTTTGTTTCTATTTTTGTATTTCTATAAGTAACAAATCTTACATTAACATTCCCATACAGTTGTCTTATAATTTCTTTGCAATAATTTCCTATGAAAGGAGATGCTGGGTCAAAAGGTATTGTTTAATTTTAAAGCTTTTGATATGCATTTCCAAATGTCCATCCCAGAAATATTGTGTCAACATACCATCTCCCATTTTTTATATGGATATCTTACTCACCAAATCTACATAAAATCTTTAAGCTACTTCTTTGCCTATTTGAGTTTACTTGTATATGGGTAGAATATCTTCTGTGAGTTTGCTTTTGAATACTAGTTGTGCTGAACATTCAAATATACAATTTGTAAATTTTCTGTTTTTCCTTTCTGTTTTTTTTCCTGTGCCAAACAACCATTTTAATTGATTTTAGTTTTTTTTTTTTCCTACATGAAGAATATTATGTTTACTAGGGTCCCTCCTTCACCAAATCCCCCCCACAAACCCCATTACAGTACTGTCCATCAGTGTAGTAAGATGCTATAGAATCACTACTTGTCTTCTCTGGTTGCACAGCCCTCCCCATGCCCCCCCCCACACACATTATACATGCTAATCGTAATGTCCCCTTTCTTTTTCCCCACGCTTATCCCTCCCTTCCCCCCCTTTCTCCCCAGTCCCTTTCCCTTTGGTAACTGTTAGTCCATTCTTAGGTTCTATGATTCCAATTGCTGCTCTTTTGTTCCTTCAGTCTTTCTTTGTTCCTATAGTCTTTGGGTTTGAGGTAAGTCTCTTGTAAGCAGCATAGAGATGGGTCCTGCTTTTTTATCCATTCTATTATTCTGTGTCTTTTGATTGGTGCATTCAGTCCATTTATATTTGAAAATATGTACTTATTGAAAGATATGTACTTATGTACTTATTAAGTACTTATGTACTTATTATTGAAAGATATGTACTTATTACCATTGCAGCCTTTAGATTCATGGTTGCCAAAGGTTCAAGGTTAGCTTCTTTAGTATCTTACTGTCTAATTTAACTCACTTATTGAGCTATTTTAAACACTGTCTGGTCATTCTTTATTTTTCTCCCTTCTTATTCCTCCTCCGTTCTTTATATGTTGGTTGTTTTATTCTGTGCTCTTTTGTGCTTCCTTTAACTGCTTTTGTGGGTAGTTGATGTTATTTTTTGCCTTTAGTTAGTATTTGGTTGGTCTGCTTTCTTTGCTGTGATTTTATTTTCTCTGGTAACATCTTTTTAGTCTTAGAAGTGCTCCCATCTAGAGCAGTCCCTCTAAAATACCCTGTAGAGGTGGTTTGTGGGAGGCAAATTCCCTCAACTTTTGATTGTCTGGGAATTGTTTGATCCCTCCTTCATATTTAAATGATAGTCATGCTCTATACAGTATCCTTGGTTCAAGGCCCTTCTGTTTCATTGCATTAAATATATCATGCCATTCTCTTCTGGCCTGTAAGGTTTCTGTTGATAAGGTTTCTGTAAGGTCTGATGATAGTCTGATGGGTTTTCCTTT